ATATAAGTGTAGTCTCTGGAAATAGAGGCTGAGCCTCAGTTTTTAATAGCTAATAAGGAAAGGACTTGACCAAGATCACTGTGCATTCACAGACAGGCATGCAAACTAGGCCCTCTGTTGTTTGGAGAGGAACAGGAACAGAAGTAAAGGTAAACATGTTATTTGTTTTCAGACAGGTATTTTTTTTTTTTAAATCTTTAGCAAAATCAACTGTACTGTCGGGAAAACAATGGCCTTTTGAGCGTTTTGATGCAAACGAGTCATTCCTCAAAGCTCCTGTCAGAGCTGTTTGTCACTGAGGAACAATGACAACCTGACTGTCTGGTCAGGGCTCAGACAATAGTCTGTTGGTGTAATTTTTATTCTTTTAAATTATGGTCTTTCTCTGAGGCTGTTAATCTTGGACATTTAGCAGAATTGCTGCTGTATCTCTTCATTGTCCTGGAGATGTTTTGTCTCTCATTCAACACTTGTCTTAAAAGCTTTTTTGAAGGATGTTTTTTCTTTATAAAGTTATTTGAAACAAAATTTTAGTTCCCTCCCACCCCACAAATACCCCTCTGAGAGTTAATCAAAGATGCACAGAGTTCAGCAACTGGAAAGCCATTAATAGCACAGCCAGTTTCTGTCCTGCTGGCTTAAAGGCAGCCTCTGGCTGTTAAAACTGATGAAGATTTCTCTGGTGTTCCCTTAAAAAGTACCCTTGGTAGAGAGTCGGTACTAGCATATTTGCATACCCTTTTCTTCACTTCTTTCCCTTAAAAGGTTGTTGGCTATATTATGTTAGAACCTAGTATTTAGCACTTGTCACTGTTACTAAGGTCAACCAACTGTGGATCTGCTCATCTGACATCGTAATTCAGTCTCTTTTTTACTTATTTTACTGCCTTCTAACTCCTGCAGCTTGCTTTCTGTCTACCTATGTTAGTGGTGAAGTGAAAGGCAGGCTCCTAGTCTTCTGAATATGTTATTATTTTAAGTGCTTCTAATTTCTCTGGTCTTTTTCTGGAACTGTTATCATTATCTTTCCCCCCACCCAAATCTCTCGTGCAGTGAAATTTGTTTTCCTATATCCAGTTATCTCCAAACCTTCTTCTTTCTAGGTAGTAAAATCAGTTATTCTTCTTACCTTGAGTTAATTTGGAACTGTGCCTTTGTGTGTGATTTTTGTGTGCTGTATTAAAATTATTTTCCCCTCTTGTCACCTAATTTGGCTTTTGGACATTCTGATCAATTTAACTTGACACATTCTCCTTTTCAAGGTTTTTCCTTGGTAAACATTTGAACTGAACTGCTTTGTCTGTTGTGCTGTTTTCTCCTAGAGGATTTTGTTGGTTTTTTTTTTTTTTTTTTTTCTTAAACAACATCTCATTTGTGTGTTTCCCACGTTTTATATATCCCTAATTGTTCTGGTTCCTGTCCTGTTTTTTTGTTTTTTGTTTTTTTTTTTTGCTGGAGTCCTAACAGTTTGAGTTCAGAGGCTTATCTGCATGATGTTGAGATGCTATTCAGCTCCTGCTTACCCATCCGTAGCCAAGATGCTAAGATGAAAATTTGCATGCACCTCTCCAGTCACTTGTATGTTGTTTTATGGTGCCATCCATTTGAGAATTTGTTTGTATCTGAGCTCGCTATGCCTACTGTCTGTCTCTGTCTCTCTGTCTCTCTTTAGTGATTGGGCTCAAACTTTCCAGTCCTCCTACTTCAGCCTCCTAAGTGCTGAGATCACTGTATTTGTGGCACCATACCTGACTCAATCTTATTTTTCTTTTCCTTTATATATCATGTTTTAGTACTCTCTAAACATTTTAAAGCTTATTACCTGTGGCTGCATTTCAGCCTATCTATTTAATTGGTGTGTGTGTGTGTGTGTATGTGTGTGTGTGTGTGTGTGTGTGATAGAACTTACATATACAACATGAAATTACTATTTTAGTCCCCTTTTCAAAAATAACTTATTTTTCTTTTTTGAGCATTTATTGGTGTTTTGCCTGCCTGCATGTCTGTGGGGAGTGTAGGATCTCCTGGAACTGGAATTATAGACAGTTGTAAGCTGCCATGTGGGTGCTGGGAATTGAACCCTGATCCTCTGGAAGAACAGCTATTTCTCTAGCCACACCATCTCTCTTTTAAAATGGAAAAAAATAACTGTTTTTAGGTTTTAAAATAGCAAAAAGGTTTGTGATATGTAACATAGGAGTCAATTCTCTGCTCACTGTTGTCAGTTATCATCCTTGGTCTTCTCATCATGTTGTCTTAAAAAGCATTGGCACCTCACCAGTAGTGTCTAGTGCCCTACCCTTCATATCTGCTAATATCAGGTAGTACCCCATGTTGCCAGAAAGGAGTGGATCTATGGACTTGGAGGAACGTGTGTCAGTTCCACAGGGGCTTTCTAGGCAGAGCATCTCAGGCCAGAGCCCTGGGACTGAACCTGCCCTGTCTGTCATGCTGCTTTCTCTCTTTGTTTTCATTCTTTCTAAGGCTTGGGGCCCTCTCTGTGTTCTTTCCATAGGACACTTTTTAACCTCAAAATGTTTTCTTTTGGTTTTTTGAGACAGAGTTCCTCTAAGTAACAGCCCTGGCTCTCCTGGATTCCTTTGTAGACCAGGCTGGTCTTGAATTCACAGATATTGACCTGTCTCTGCCTCCTGAATGCTGGGATTAAAGACGTGCACCATTACACCTGGCTTTAATGTTTTCTAACTCCTTTCATGATAATTGGTTATCTTTGTTGATAAATGCACAATTATGACATGCTATCATGACTTTAGTAGTACTTTTAAATTATTGGTACTTTAACTCATCACAACCAAAATTATATATTTGAAACATAAACATATATGTAAGTTTGAGAACTATCTTATTTAATATTCAACTTCTTTGTGTGCATGTGAGAATGTCTGCAATAATTTCATTTTATAGGTTAGCGTCTGATGTATGTGGATGCATACGTGCATATATGTGTGTATTGTATGTATCTGTGTATACATATGTATTATGTATCTATGTGGATGTGGACATGCATTGGACAGTAAGTGTGTGTGTGTGTGTGTGTGTGTGTGTATACTTGGCTTAAAGTTGATGTTGAGTATTTTCCTCGCTTGCTCTTTTACTTTATTGTTAAGGCAAGGTCTCTTGATGAACTCAGAGCTCCTCAATTCAGGATAACTTAGCTAGCTAGCCAGCTTGCCTTGGGGATCCCCTATCTGCCTCCATAGTCCTAGACTTACAAGCTGCCCCATGCCAGCTCAGCTTTTATATGAGTTCTAGGGATCTGAACTCCAGACTTCATGCTTACTTGACAGACATTTTGTCTAGGGAACCATCTTTCTAGACTCCCAACCCTCTTATAAATTATTTTTATCCCTACTTCCCTTTTTACTACCTATATAATCTTATGTCCTTTTCCTTATCCTTCCTTTTATCCCCAGAGTTTCAAGTCAACAAAATACAACATCTTAGGAAAACAATAGTATATTTTGGGGGTGGGCAGGTTGGGCATGACCCAAATACTGATTTCTGATGGATCAGCTTCCAATAGCCTTGGCATTGATTGCTCTTAATGCTCAGCAGCCTGTTCTACATAATACAAAACCTTTAAAGGCTTTTATTTCTGACTGATACAGCTCCCAGTGGGCCACTTAAAAGCCAAAGTATTTAACTTTGGTTCCAGGGCTAGTTTGAAGATTATCTCATTGATTTGAAGGTAATCCAAAGAGAGAATTCAGATGTCCCAAATCAGGCTCTCAGAGGTTCATTTATTTCCTGGAGTTGTTTAAGCAGCTAATTAACTGCTCTGTCCAGCCAGTGCCCTTTGGCTTATTGTTTCTTTGATGTGTTGGAAACTTCAGCCACGTGAAGTGAAGTTCCTCTTTTCTTGTAGGAAGCAGTGAAACGCAATGGAAAGATGCAAAGCTTAAGTCAGTTCTTCCTTGAATCCTCAACTACATTCTAGCCTGTGACCTTGGACTTGCCTTCTGATTCTTAGTATCCTTAAGTAAAATTAGACTAATAATACCTCATGGGATAGATAGAGAGATTAAGTAAGATGACATTAACAACGTTGAACTGAACAGGCACTTAATAAATGGTGGTTAATAATCCATAATACTTTGTTTTTTTTTTACTCAGATGACTTGTTTTAGGAGTGCATTTTCTAATATTTTTCGTCACTGTCAAATTTTCAGCTTTTCAAAGAAGAAACTGAAGATTTTTTTCTTATTTCAGTCTTCTGCCTACTTGTCTTTTTGGTGATACTAAGGAATGAACCCGAGGCCTTGCATATGTCAGGCAGGCCAGGGCTGTGCCCGTGAGCTACATCTCTATAGCTCCCCAACCTTCATCTCCCCCTGACAGTCTCTCTTTCTGCCAAGGGCAGCTAATGAAGAAAAAGACATTTTTGGGCTGGGTGTGGTTGTGCATGCGTTTTAGTTCCAGTGCTCGGGATGCGGAGGCAGGTAGATTTCTGTGAGTTCAAGGCCACCCTGGTCTACATAGTGAGTTCCAGGACAGCCAAGACTACATAGAGAGACTCTGTCTCAAAAATGAAAGAAAAGAAAAAGACACTTTTTTTGTTGTTTGTTTTTTGAGACAGGGTTTCTCTGTGAAGCCTTAGATGTCCTGTACTTGGTTTGTAGACTAGGCTGGTCTCGAACTCACAGAAATCCACCTGCCTCTGCATATCGAGTGCTGTGTTTACAGGCATGCGCCACCACGTCTGGCAGAAAATAACATTCTTAACATAGCCTTTCCAGGCCCTGTGATTTAGATTTGGCTCTACTTTTAGATTCTACAGGGGTCAAAGACCACATTGACTCAAGAGAATCTTCTTTCAGAGCTGGTTTTCGGGTGCTGGATTAGTTAGCCAATAGGTGACTGCTTACTTTGGGCGCCTCTCCAGAGTGTAGGACTTTAGTTTGAAGATGCCTATTTTGGGTAGCAGGTGAGTGATTCTGCTTTAGTAACTGTCTTATGCGTAGTCTCTCTGTTTTCTCCAGGGACAGTGGTGACAGATCTAGGCACCGAGCTCCCCGCAATGCTCGAATGTCTGCACCGTCACTTGGACGCTTTGTCCCAAGGTAAGAACTGTGTTGTAAGCATTGAAGGATCTTTGATGAAAGCCTAGGATTTTATTTTTGTTTGGTTGCTTTTACTTGGCTTTCTAGTGCTGGAACTAGATAAAATCCAGGGCCTTGGCACATGTTAGAGAAGCACTTTGCTGCTGAGCCACCCAGGCCCTTTAGAGTTTAACCTCTGGCCTTTTGGATTAGCCATATATGGAATTGTTTTCTAGCAAGCCTATATTCTAGTCCTGCCATCTAAACATTTGATGGGAGATAATTAGCCATAGTACATAGAAATAGAAAAATAGCACTAAGAGCATACTGTTCAAAGGTAGAAGTCTTGTAGCAGAGACTCACTATGTAGCTCTGGTTGGCCTGAAATTTATTATGTAAACCAGGCTGGCCTAGAATTCATAGATCTGCCTGCCCCTGCCTCCCAAGTGCTGCCTCCATGTGCTGAATGCTAGGGATAAAGGCATGTACCATGCTTGACTAGCTTTACTTTAGAAGATGGGCAATAAGACGTTACAAATTTATAAAAGGACAAATCTTGTGAATTTTTTGAGCTTCCTTTTTGAGTTTTCTCTCTGAGCTTCCATGGATTTTTAGGTTAGTGTGTCACTTATGCTATATTTTGTTATAATTTATGTTTTAGGCCCCACTCTGGCCTTAGCCTTCCATGTGTTAGGATCATAGTTGTACACCCTTATGCCCAGCCTTACTTCGCCAGCGATTGTGAGACTTTATCTTTGTTGTTAGTAGTCTTTAGTTGGCTTTTCACATGTAATTCCTTCTTACAGGCGTTTTTTGCTGCCTGAGTATTTACCTTATGCTGGGATTTTTCATGAACGTGGACAGCCTGGATTGGCTACTCATTCTTCTGTTAACAGGGTTCTGGCAGGTAAGGAAACATTTCTTTGGATTTTAAAATTATGAAAGGCAGGAAGCTAAAACTTTCCCCTGTATTGATATGATAGTCTTTTAGCATTGGCTGAAAGTCTGTTGGGTCCTGTATGCAGTTTCTTATTTCCAGGCAAGAGTCAGTAGGGTTGAGAAACTGTTTCTTTTGCCTAGTTCTAGTTCCTTCAGGACTTTTTGTTTGAGAGAGAGAGAGAGACAGAGAGAGAGAGAGAAGAAGGAGAAGAAGAAGGAGGAGATGAAGAAGAAGAAGAAGAAGAAGAAGAAGAAGAAGAAGAAGAAGAAGAA